CACACACACACTTTAATTTTGGAACATTTTTTTGCTGAAGGAATGGTTGTAGAAACAGCGATAGCAACTGAAGAGTGTCTGGCAGGCAGACTTCTTAACTGAGGATATTTTGCAGCGATATTCCATTTCTACATGTTTCCTTTTCACATTTGTCATGACATTTTTCACTGTGTACACCCTTCACCCTGAATTTCCTTGGCTACAGATTTAGGGCTGAAGCAGAGAATACTTTAAAGATCTGATCTATGAAAAAGCAGATGAATCACTATTTGGCAATATACATTGTAGGCACAGAGCACTGAGTTTGGCTCAGAATACCGAGGTGGGGTGTGGGGAGAGATGAAAGGGTTAACGCTCCCTATGGTATTCTCGCCTGGATCATCCATCTGCTGTGCTTACTATAGAATAAATAGGAAAAAGGAACATCTGCTTTAGTCTTAGTCCCTCAAGTCACGTTCAAACCCAGGCCTTCCAGCCTCTCTCACAAGGAAGAATGGCATAGATTGGCTTTCCAGTTTACAATCTGATTGGTTCTTTTGTTCCAGGAACCTCGTCCTCACTAAACTGTAGGGCTGGCAGTTTATTACAGGGCAGGACTGCTAGTTTGCATGGGGGCAGAGAGTTATAAATTGGACCATACATAAATGTAGGTAAGGGAAAAGAGGATTGGCAAAGCTTTCATGGAATGCAATGTACGAGGCTTTCCAAAGTAAGGTGGACTAACAGTCTCCTTGTCTTACAGATGACTTTATGAGTTTTGATGTATTTTGCAGGACAGTTCTTTGCTCCCTTTGGCACTGTGATTAGTTCAGCTCAGCTGAGATGGCTGATTGCCACCATCTTTGCAAAGTTGTGGGATCAATTTCATTTATTAGGGCTCAATGACATGGACAAGGTGCTTTCAGTAGTGCGGCCAACCACATGTTGTCTTAATTCCTGCCCTTGCTGATAAAAGCTAGCTGAGAGGGTGGGTCTAGGAAGTGGTAAATACATCTTTGCATGGAGGGATGGTTCCTGCCACCCTCAAGGAAGCAGTAATGCAGCCACTCCTTGGGGGGGAAACCCCTACTCTAGATCTAATGGTATTTGATAATTACCACCTCATAGCAAATGCTTCCTTTCTGGGAAGGTAATTGAGAAGTTGACTGCAGAACAACTAAGGCACTCTTGGAGGATTCTAAGTATACAGACCCCTTTCAGTCTGGGTTTCAACCTCATTTTATGACCAAATGAGCCTTAGTCACCTTTATCAGGAGAAAGACGGCTCACTGTGACCCTGCTAATTCTACTGGTTCTCACCAGTTTTTGCACAATTAACCATAGTATCATCCAAGATGGACTCTGTGGGCTACATGTTGGAAGCATTGCGTTACAATGATTCTGGTCTTACCCGTGAGGCCAATTCCAGAGACTAACTCCAATGAGTGTTCCTCAAGCCCCTGCATTTGAGCTATGGAGTTCCATAAGGTATCACCCTGTCCCTGGTGTTAGTTAACATCTATGTGAAGCCGATGCAAAAGCAGCCATTTGGGATTTGGAGCCAAGCACAGTTGGTGTGCTGCTGACACACAGATCTATCTCCCTGTGACAACTGAATCAGGAGAGGTTGTGTAAGTTCTAAATCACTGTCTGGTTGTTGTTATGTGCTGTCAATCAACTTTACTTATGGCAACCCTCTCGGAATTTTGAACTGAATGAAAAACTGACGTTGAATCCTGCAAAGACAGAAGTCCTGTGGTTGAGTAGTTCCTGAGTCCAGAAGAGAGATTTATCATTTGTTCTGGATGTGGTTGTAATTCCCCTTGAAAGACCAGGTGTGTAGTCTGAGAGTATTCCTAGATCCATCACTGCCATTGGAGTACCGAGTGAATGCACCAAATGACTACAGTAGGTTGGCATGCCTTGTATCCTCTCCACCATGATGCAAGTGCTGGTAACTCCAAGACTGGATTACTGCAATGCACTTTACGTAGGGCTGAACTTAAGGCTGCTCTGGATTCTGGCACTAGCATAGAATGCAGTGGTTTGGTGCTCCCATTTTCCAGTGTGCAAATTCTTTGCAGAAGGAACTGCTCTGGCTACCCATTCACTTCTAGGCCATTCTTACAGTTTTAGAAATAGTGTACAAAGCCCTAAACAACTTGGGACCAGGATACTTGAAAAGTCCTTCTCAACCTGCCTAGTCACTGAGGTGAACAGAGAACATTATCCTGATTGTTGCATTCAGACCCATGACATCAGGAGAAGAGCCTTCCAGTTTTGGAACTCCCCTGCGAACAGTTTTGGAAGGTCAGGCAGGTACCAACACTGTGCTGTTTTCAGTGCTTGCTAAAGACCATCTTACTCCAGGAACCCCTTTCTTGCTGTCCAGCCATTGTCATAATATTATTTTGTTTTATATATATCTTTAATTCTTTTTATTCTCCTATTTATTTTAGCCTAAGGTTCCTCACCATTCCAGGATGTGTTTGCATGTGGAGCCATATAGACGTACAGTAAATAAAATGAATATATCTACACACATATATAGAGAGACATAATGGCAACTGACTTATTAATCAGATACCAGTTCCTTGCATCACAAAACATAGAACTAATGGTAGCAGACATACTGCTATGGTTATTTTTCTTAACTCTTCTTGTTCCAATTTAAAATTTAAGGAGAGGCTATAAAGGAGATAGAGAATTATGACAGATGCTGGTTCATGCCATGTAATAAAATAAAATAACCTGCTATGTTGCTACAACACTCTGGAAAATACAGGCAGGGATGGGAGGGGATCTTTTGTTGTTGCAGTAGTAGTTGTTACTATTCTTGAACAGTTTTGGAAAAATAAATCTGTGGGACATGAGCTGTGAAATAGCATTTTGATTGCTTCTACAAGTTCACATAATATAAAGAGGATGCTCCAAAGAGAAATGTTTAATACAAAAAGACCAACAATGTATTTGAAGTTTAGTTGGACACATCTTAAAATGAATACAATCCAATGTGTTTTCACACTGGTATGTTCTTCTTCATGGTCTCTGTGCAATCACACACATGGGCTCTGCCGCGGAGCACAAGGCCCTGATCAAAGAATCTTCCAAAGCTTGGTGCCGTGGAGTGAGAGGGAGCCCAGGGCTGCCCCCATCCAGGTAGCATAATGCATGATAATTAACCAAGTATCCAAGATGAAAAACTCCTTTTGTAACAGTTGGTAGTGATTGTACTTGGATTTAGATAAACAGGTACAGGTAAGAGAAGGTAGAAGGACAGTGTCTCATTGATAAGAACCAGGTTGGGACTAGTTGTTCCTAGCCAGTTCTACTGTGCAGACAATCCTGGGCTAGACTGACCAGTGGACCAACTTGGTGCAAGGCAGCTTCAGCATTTTTCTTTGAGTCCCAGCGGGGGTGAAAGTTCAGAAGGCTGTCACAGTGTGCCATTGTTTGGTTCTCCCATGCCTGCTTCTTTCCAAGCTGCTTTTAATCACTCTCTTTTACAGTCCAAGGTTGAACAAACTTTTTATTTATTTATTGGTACTTGTATATATCCCACCTTTCTTCCACCATGGAATTTGAGATGAGGCTATGAGGTGGTCTTCCATCCAGGCACTGACTAGACCAGCTTAGCTTCAGGAGTGACTGTATTATGTGCTTCCAGACTATACTCTGCCTTATACCACCTAAGATCATTGGTCCGTCTAGCTCAGACATGGGGAACCATTTTTCAGCCACATCAGAGGCCATATGATGGCTGTGAGCAGAACAAGACGCAACACCCACTGTCTTTTTCTGCCACCTCCCTGTCCCCTTGAACAGATATAAGGTTTTGCCTTTCCTATGCTTTTTCCATCTACCCTATTTCCCGTCTGAATTCTCCCCACCTGCAGAATTACAATATCAGCTAGGACTTTTGTCCAAACAATATCTGATTCTAGAACTTGTTTGATTCTACTTAATCAGACAGTCTGATGATCTTGGGGACGGGCAATAAACTGGAAAAGAGGTGTATATTTTGTCACTTTTCTCAATGTGAATTTGATCTGACTGAGGGAGGGCATCCTCTCATTCTAGATTTCTCCACTGTCGAATGTAAAGATCTCCATGGTAACTCAAACCCCCAGCCTCTTCTCAGCAGCCTGCAAGAAGCAGTTTTCAGCAGCTCAGAGGTCTCACGACCAGGTAAGTAGAACAATTCAGGAACTGGACTTATATTTACAATCTGCAATGTCCTCATATATTTAATTTCATAATTTGATGGGAGACAGAAATTAGAAAATCTATATGTAAAGTGTTCTACAAGTACTATAGTGCCTTTAAAGTGTAAAAATCCACAAATGCCATCTGTAGTTGGTAGCAGTCTGACCCACAAGGGGTCATTTGGATCCCACAGGTTCTGGCACAGGTTTAATTCAAGTATCTTTGGCTTAACAGGTAGGTAGATTAAGCTATATATTCTTATTATATAAAGCTAGCTAGCCCAACTTGTAATGCTTATCATGCTTCTTACTATAAGTGTCACTCACTGGAATAATGCTGTGTAAGTAACCTAATGACCTGATTCCTGCATAAGGCTAATCCATGAATTGTTGAAACTTAGCTTCTTGTCATGTGGTAAGTTCAGCTATTAACTAACAAATGATGGGTTGTTCATCACAAACAAGCCAGAAAGAGAACTCATTCTTTCTTGATGACTTGTGAATTCTGGGTATTTAAACCATAAGTTATGTATTAACTCAAAACTATAATTTGGTCATGGGCTGTTCGAGCAAGTTAGAGGAGCAACAGGCAAGATCAGTTAAAAAAGGCAGCCCCTCTATATGTTACTGCCATGTGTTGTTGTACTGTGAATTCATTACTGGGAAACATTTAAAGAGCTATCAAAAAAGATGAGAAACAAACCAGGGATTGAGAAAACAGGCTATGGTCTGTTTGATTGTCAGTCAGACTATGAGTAAAGCAACAAGCCATACATTAGTTATGAATTAAAGAAGCATTATGTGTGGAACAGGTCATAGTAAACTAGCAACTGGAAGAACTACTTTATAAACCTTAAACAGTTGTTAGGAATATATTTTAAACTAATGTTTAATAAGCTATTTTAACTTGAAGAGGGTAAAATAAATAAACTAATGAAAACTATTATTATAATAAATAGAATAATCTCCCTTATGTGTTTTATTTGATCTGTTCTCTTAGATAATTTTTGATCATAGTACCTTAAAATCTTTCTTTCTTCCGCCCACCAGCATGCAGCGTTTATCAAATTGTCCAAATCAATCTACTGCTACTCATTTTCTGGCTAGAGCAACTGATCATTTGGCATTCTGCTGGGCATCCTGAAACTTTATCTCAATTTGATATCTTATCAAATGTGAACAAAGCATTAATCCTTTTTCTTAAATAGGCTGACTTCTAACCACTTTGGAATTTTGAGATATGAGTTATAGTTATAAGAACATGATCTACTAATGTCGGGTAGATTATTGTTCCATTGGACAGACTAACCATTAGTCTCTGCTAGGGGGATGTATTGAGCTGAGATTTCAGAAGAAAAGGAATGGAAAGGGAAAGGGAAAGGCTAAGTCCTAGTAGAACTTCCAGGGTATAATTTAACTGGAACTCAGATGCTCTCGCTTTCAAAAACTACACATTTTGCAAGAAACTCATAATAGGCTTTGGTTCCCGATACTATTCATCTAGGTAGAGTTAGATAGACTTCTACATTTTTATTTGGAATTCTGGAAATATTGTGATTGTTGTCTTCACTGGTTTTTTCTCCTTTGTTTCTCTGGTTTTACTATGTAAACTTCTTTTTGTATTTTAATATTTGGCTGCATTTTTGACAAGGATTTTTTACCAAACTTTTGTCTGTGTGAAAGACTACTTGTTTACCAAGCTACCACTTGTGTTTTCAGATTTTTTGGAAAAGGCTTTGGTAAGGTCTCTTTTTCTGGGCCTTGGGAACAGAAATCTGAAGTACTTTTCTTATAGGCTTGGACTGAAAGGAGAAGTTACTCGGCAATATGGCTCAGAAACTCCCATCGTTGCGCAGACTAGGATATGCCAGGAAATTCATCCTGACTGGTGGCAGCCTACTTATTTTTCTTGGAAGCCCATGTAAGGAAAGCGTCCAGCAAGAGGAAAGATTATATTCCTTCCTGATCTCAAAGGAATCTGTTGATGTTTTAGATCAGGGGTCCTCAAACTTTTTCAATGGGGGCCAGTTGAAAGGTGGTGGCGACCCACATGGGCCGGTGAGGCAGGGGTGCCTGGGCGCATGGGCCAGTGAGGCAGTGTTGAGCGCATGTGGCTGCTTGCTTGCTTGCTTGGAGATCTCCCAGCGAGTCCAAAACCATCTCTGAGAGAACAAGCCACCGCCTCCCCGCCCACACTGTGAGGCAGGAGGCAAGTGCACGCATGCAGGGGAGGCAGGCGGAGGCGGCAGCTTCCTCGCTTGGAGATCTCCCAACAAGTCCAAAACTATCTCCGAGTAAGCAAGCCACCACTCCCCGCAGCAAGTGCGCAGGTGGCGGCGCAGGCCGGATAAATGGGTATGGTGGGCCAGATCCATCGTGTGGGCCATAGTTTGAGGACCCATGTTTTAGATGGTCCTTCCAAATTCCCAGACTCTTGATTTATAAAGCTGTGATTAAACATTGGGTGCTCACTTTTCCTATAGTTCCCCTCTCCCCCTCTGCACACTTTTTGCACACACTTCATTGGAAAGACTTATACTAACTTGACTTGTAATAAGCCAGGATCTCTTATATCCATATGGTAATTTTGATTTGATGTTGATTAACAAACAAGAAAAATAAGTCAGAACGTGATCAGGAGTGGGAGAAGTGAAAGAGAAATGGTTAGCCATGATACATGTTACTATCCCTATAAACAACAAACCCCTATAAGTTATGAGCCTTAGTCATCCAAGTCAGGCCAAAGTATAAGCTAATTTGGATTTCAGTTGAATAAGTTCAAAGGAAAATCCAACATAATACTTCATTATCTGAAAACAGGTTTAGCATAGAAATTCAGTGAGCATCAACAAAAAGCTGACGCAGTGTCAAATGCCACCGTTTCTTTTGATGATCCACAGCACTGCAATTAACTTGGAAGAACCTGCTAGATCTCTTGCGGCTTCAAAGGCTGGCCATTGACTTCTCCTGGGCAGGAAGGATCATGAAGAACTTCCTGTTCCATCTAAGCCTTGCTCATGGAACAAGGTCTACCTAAGCTCCAGTATGGCCTGAACTTCTTGTTTTATTGCCTTGGTTTTCTCTGTTCCTAATTGCTCATTAGCCCTGCTTTCTGGTTTGCCCTCTGATAATGATTACTGCTTGATCTGGTCTTCTAGTTCTAACAATGCAGCTCTAAAAAGTTGATCACAGTGAGCAGTGAGGCCTTTCCCATGCTTTGTGACTATCCCATCTTTTCCCTATACTTTATGGATTCAATAATTTTGTAGAAAAGTATTAAAAATAGTTTCTCATAAGGTGAGATAGTGAGTAAATGGGAGTGAGTACACACATGATGCATTTATATTTCAAGATCTATTTCTAAAAACTGGTAACATCGATTTGTACATTGCACATGTTTTTGATATTGAAGTCTTCAAAGCACCTTATGGATATACTAAACATTAGCAAAATATACAATTTTAAAACAATGGAGTCATAAAAACAATAATGACACAAAAACCAGAGCAGTAAATAAAAAGTAGAACAGGCAACATCATAAGAACCACAAATTAGTAACCAGAGTAAAATAAGGAGTGGAATAAAATAGCAGATTATAATCAAAGAATTAAAACCCTTGGTGAACAAGGGTTTTCACCTACACAGAAATGCTGATAATGTTAGGTGCCTCTCTCACTTGACAATTCCCTGGAGATAACTTGGGACTGCAGTACTGGATGGTGATCTATGATCAACATCAGGAGCCTTCTTGAAGTGTCACCTTCAAGGGAAACTTGGAGGGTCACAACAGTGGGGAAGGCCTTCTTAAGGGCAGCCCTCACAGTTGTGAAGTGGTCTCCCCACTGAGGCCCACTTGGCACCAAAACTGTCTTCGTTTTGGTGCTAGGCCATGACATATTTCCACGCTGCGCATTTAAAGAATATTTAATGGCTCAACATGGACACCCATGGCCGATGTTTTTAAAAGGAGTGTTGTATATTAAATACCATTTTAGCTGTTAAAGTGTTTTTAAATGTGGTATTTTGGAAACTTTGCATGGTGTTTTTATTGTATTTATTGCCCGGTTTCAGGAACCATTGGAAATTACTCAGAGAGCTTTGGCCATTACGTGGTAGTGAAATGAAATAAAGGAACACGATGTGATCACCTGAAAAGCCTTTCTCATTGCTTGCCCTTTTCTGATAGAATACTCGGAGAAGGGGCTCACTTGCAGATCTAATCTCATGCCACTATGGAAACCACCAGCATGTTTGTGAAAATAAAGATATCTTTTGTGACCCTTTGTCCTTGTTAGAAGCAACATTAAATACAATAACTCTAGTTCTGTTTTATTTTTTCAAGCACTACATTTCTGCTCAGGGCAGCTAACAATAAAATGGAAGGAACAATAACAAAATTATAATGTAAACACTAAAACTCATTCATTGACAATGTTTCCAATAAAAGACACATCAAATAAAATACAAATTAAAATAAAAGACCAATTAAATTACATCAATAGGAAAGAAATAGCAGAATGTATCCGATTATAAATCCAGTTTAGCAGAAATTCAGTTTAGCTGTCAAAAGCCTGCCTGAATAAAAATGTGTTTAGATGCTGGAAGCAAGTGAACTGAGAGCTAGTCTGGCAGGGAGTTTGAAAACTTGGGATTGGCCACCCAGAAGGCCCTTTGATAGTGCTGGGCAGGCTCATCTGGCAAATGTGGCCTTCCAAACAGCCTTTTCCCATTCCATATGTCATCACCAACACTTGACTACCTGCAAGCTGTTGGGAAAGGGGAGATGCATATAACTGGGGCAGGTTAATAATCCGGCCACAGCAATCTGGACAGCTGAAGTTTCCAAAATTTTTCCAAGGCAGCTCCTGTAGAGCACATCACAGTAGTCCAAGCAGAATGTAGGTAAGGGCATGGGTCATTGCGATCAGATTTGGGCACTCTTGGCACACTAGTCTTAACTGTACAAGCCCCCTCCTGGGCACC